ATATATAAGGGGTGTTGTTACAAATAGTAAAATGATAATATATGGGGTATTATTGCAAATTTACATATGATAATTTATGGAGAATAATTGCAAATATTTACATGAGAATATGTAGAGTGTTATTAAAAATATTTTCATGCTAATATCTGAGGTATCATTAAAATAAATACATGATAATTTAAGGGTATTTTTTTCAAAAACTGGTGATAATATGTGGGGTGTTATTACAAATTTTATCACGACAATCTGTGGGGTGTTGTTACAAATATTTATATGATAATATGTGGGGTGTTATTACAAATATTAACATGATATGCGTGGTGTTATTAAAAATATATACGGGGTGTTGTTACAAATAGTAAAATGATAATATGTGGGGTATTATTGCAAATAATTACCTGATAATAGGGAGATGTTTTTGAAACCTTTTACATGATATGCGGGGTGTTATTACAAATATGTACATGACAATATGTGGGGTGTTATTACATACATTAAAATGATATTATTTTGGAAATATTACAAATATGAACCTGATAATACGCGGGGTATAATTGCAGATATACACACCTTTTGTTTGTAGTGTGTAGTTACAAATATATGCATTATTAGTAAAAGAAATACAACATGATGAAATGTATAAATCAATAGGCGTTGTTTTCAACAATTGAGGAACAAGTTTTATCAAAGTATATTTATAACTTTTTGTTGACATGGATTGTAACGTGCAGGAGATTTTAAACACGATTTATAGGGTATTGATCCAAAGCAGGACATTATAGATGCATGGGTTATTATAACAAATACTGATGAGTGGATGTTAATAAAACAAATTGATATAATTCAATGGAACTGTTCTTGTAAGGAATTTAATATATTTACTTATAGGGGTAACTATCGCTAATGTCCGCTTGATTTTAGAAAAAAATATTTTAAATTGAAAAAAATGTGGATGTTCTAATGTCAACCTAATTTAAATAACTTGACCACAAAGTCAACATATATCTAATGCATGCAAATCTAAATTTTCAAGATTATTTCCGCGAATGTTAAATAAAAATGACACGGTATGGATGTGGACAGTATCTGCTTTATCTACAGATATTGTAACTGATACGGGTAGTTTTATACACATAATTCTGCCAACGTGTGTCCACAGTGTCAATATTTAGGTACATATAAGTCAAGTATATGTAAGATATCTCCCAGATAAGACTGAGAAAGTGTACAATGTAAACAGTTAAGATTTACCTCCAGGCGTATTGCGATATTTATGTGTTGCCTATCCCTTTGGCAATTTTTTATACACAATCTTCTACGTTCAGTGGGTTATACCTGAACTATTAAACACTTAATGCATAGGATATATATGTGCGTTTTAATACTCTGTTCATTCCATCAATAATGACATCAGATAAAAAAAAAACACCAATAGGATATTTATGTGAGTGTATAGAAGGGTATTTTTATACTCATTTCTGCTGTATCATCCTTTATAACCAAATGTCATCGCGATTGTTCTCACCGAATGTTCATGATTAAAGTTTAGATGTAAAAGTTTTATTTTATATTTGTAAGAGCAAGTTCGCCACGTTATAGACTTATTGAAAACATCTTCATGTAAGTTTCAACATTGGTAAAAAGAAAATCGAATGTAAATTTCAAGAATGTATGATGAAGAAACGATTGAATATTGCAAATATATTCTAGTATCATTAAATGTGCTGTGAGAGAAATGGATGAACACAATCAATTCAAAGTATCTAGTACATGATTAGAGCACCATTTCAAGATAACTAATATATGAAAACTTACAAAGACATATAACAGGTAAATAAAATTACAAACTTAGATAGACGGGTAAAACTCGTCAATATAGTAAAGCATTACATACTTAGAGGAACGGGTAAAACTTCCAAATGTATTATTACACAGAGACAGGTTTATGTTTTCAATATTGAAATTATCACGCATGCATTATAAGGTACAGAGACGGAAAACAAAGGGAACATATGGTATGTGTTACAGTTTTACATAAAGTATTTATATACCTTTATTACATGCATTCAAAGGTAAGACAAAACGTCAATGAATGAATTTATTTGTATATGTAAGCCTCGATCTGGATAGGTTTCTTCCAAAATGTAAGTGTTTTACTAGGCGTCATGGAATATTAATCCTACTGCGGAAAGAACACTAACAATAACTATCCCTTTGAATATATGATATTGCATACCCGATTGATTCCTATTGTTAACGATTGCAAAACCATTAAGTATCAATTTCAACAGCCTAATCAGCGGTGCAGTCCTATCGCTTCTCTGGGGGTCTCTCTGGGAAACTATTTTGTCTCTCATCCCGGTTTTATACTCGAATATGTGTTGATGAGCTGCTACCTACAATCAAACACTTATCAGATTCAGTTACGAGTACGTGTGTACAGCTTTATTGAATCTGTTACAGCCTGGAAATAGGTTTGGATTCCGTTGGTTGATAACATATGAGGTGTGACATACATTGCTATGTAAAGTGTATACTCGGCCGTGATAAACGATCGACGTGACTGCTGTCTACCCTGAAAGGTAATTTAATACCCCGGTAAAAGGTTTGTTGGACAAATATTTGGCTCGGTGACAGCACAAAATAGGAGGGAAATACCCGTTTATTTTCGTCCCTACACAAGGCTGAGGGGAGATTTGCTGATACACAATGAAGTTTTACAATAAAGGCAGCAAAATACTTGCATTAAACATTAAATTTGAGATAGGAATTCCCAAATATCTCGTGGAAATTTTTAGACATTTAATCATGCAATGACCTCTACTGGTTTATCTAATATTGCCCTTTTCCACATAAGGGGAAATTGAATTGGAAATACCAATATATCGGATAGTTAGACTAAATGGAACTTGGTGCGTTCAAACTCAGCAAATTATGGAAAAATTTCCTTATTTTGTGCAAATAAGTGATATCATTCAGAAATTAATTTTAAAACTAATGAGATTTATTAAAGGAATACATTTAGACATATTTTTTTCCAAAGATACAACACGATGCGATTTTGCACACCAAATGTAGTTTTCAAATCTGTATGGTACACATTTTGTAACCCATTGTGCAATTCTATACAATTGGGTAGGCAGCTATGCCGTTGCATCATCATCATCATCACTCTTTTATTCCTCACAAATGAGAGTGTATAACACAAAATTAAGAATAAGAAAATTACACAATGTACAAATTGTGGTTAATACCTATGATAGAGCACAGATAAGAACACAATCATATTTTTAATATATAGATACAATGTTACGATAAATATAATATGGTGTATATATATATATAATATGGTGTTAAATTACTCCTAGATATATAATATGGTCTTAAGTTACTCCTAGATATATAATATGGTGTTAAGCTACTCCTAAATATTTAATATAATGTCAAGTTACTCCTAGATATATAATATGGTGTCAAGTTTCTCCTAAATATATATGGTGTTAAGTTTCTCCTAAATATATAGTGTGGTGTTAAGTTTCTCCTGAATATATAATTTGGTGTTAAGTTAACATGGTGTAATAACGTTTTACTTTTGTTTGGCTTTCTGCCTTGGTATGTTGAATTTTAAAATCATACTTACCGATCATTCCTGAAATGTCTTTAATGCAGCTTAAAGTGATAAGTAATGTCTATCTATAAGATACATGAACACGTTGACCAGACGCATTCTTTAAGTTACATTCTGTTCGACATATAGGTGTGTTTTTTTCGATGTGTTTTAGAAACTGACAATGTTTTTCGCTTGGTTACATATATAAATGAGGTGAATGAAGAACAGATAGATGAAACAAATTACTGATTCAAAATAAAAGATAAAACAAATGAACAGAAAGAGATTGTAATCAGATCACCCTTACACCCAGGGAGGTACCACTTACACATACTTCAGCTGTGATTTCCATACGGAAACAAGCCAGATAAAGTTCCACGGAAATATTTTCTAACGAACTTTAATTTCAGGACTTTGTTTATATTGAAGTGCATCGTTATGAATTTTCTTTACATATTGTACTATTACTAAAGATCTAACTAAACACATAGCATCATTCAGTCTACAATTTGTTTTTACAGGGAAACATTAATATTCCCCTTAGTTTTCCTTTATGATTAAGTTGTCATTGCTTTCATTATAAATTTACTCCTTATGTAACAATGTTCACATTTTTCCCAGTCAAAGCAGATTTTAATTAACCACCTTTTATTGCACAATGTCGTATTGGAACGATATATCTATATCTATATTGTTAATGTTGTTTTGATATTTCATTGTTTGTCATAAAAAATCAACATGTCTAATAATTTAAATCATGTTTTGCATAGTTGTTTGTCCTGTGTCTCTCTAACAATATAATGGACGGGGCTAAGTAACCATACTGAAAATACTGTTTCTATAATAAGGAACTAGTTTAGGGACTTGAGCAAATCTAATTGCCAGCCAGTAGATGGAAAATGCACAAATATTCCACTACTTTGTAATGAATTGTAAACGCCGACGACGATATACAGTACCGGTAAACTATTCCAACTCTTAGCCATGCCCGTGTTGTATAAGGTTATACAGAAGGTAGTAATACATACCCAAAATGTCGATATAGTCTATACACACACACATACACACATGTGTCATTGTTTTGGTGCTGAATAAAGATGTAACGAAATAAAAAATGATAATGTGTACCATTGCTATCAAACCGACATGACCGGTCCGGATAACACTGTTAGATTTTTGAGTGAAACAATAGGGTATGGTTCTCAGGCTAAAGCCACACTTTAATCAATGACCTAGATTCTGGTTGAAATGAGCACGTATAAACGTCACCAAGTGTATTGGCCAATCACGACACACTCGACAAAGAAGGGAAATTCCCTATATCTCCAATATACGATTCACTGAAGCCACCACCTTTTTATTTCTGCGCCACGTGATATATCTGTGTATTAATACGAGAGGCCATGCTAACCATAACATTGTGAGTGTGATTAGCAGAGAACAGTGGAGCGACTTAGTGGCAGTCAGTGTATCTGAAGTGTATTAGTGTATTTCAGAATCCTTCATAACAAGTAGTTGTGCAACTGCAGCTATTGATCTGGTAAGTTAGAATCATATTATTATTTTAAAATGAATATGATTACATATAACTGATTGATTTTTAACAAATTACAAAAATATTTTATCGCTAAATAGAAGCAATCTAATCATTTTATGAATAAACAATAATGCATCAGACAATATGTATGAAAAAAACTTAATATTTGCTTTTGTTCCACATTCAATTATATATATACATATTTGGGAAAAATAAGATATATATGTATACAAAATATATGCACATAGCTTTCATGTAAGCATATTTTCCCTTCAATATAACATTGTAAGCATGGATACTAGTAGATAATATACAATGACAGCTATGAATAGCATTGATGTATTATTGTTACAACAGTGTCACCTTACTCTAATGTTCTTGTTCTGCCATTTGTACTATTTGGTTATGACACTTTAAAGTTTATTTAGTTTGATGGATTTTTAATATTGTTCCGAGTGATACAAGCTCCATAAATGCCTACTATTATCTAAACAAATTGTCGCCTAGTCGGGATAACGTTTGATATCGTTACCATCTTGTCTCCGGGGCCTATGTTTACACGGTATCATGTTAATATTGCATCGCCTCCTGTAGGAGAAGGCTAGACCTACAAGGTACTGGCTGATCCCGAGCTATGCCATATCATCGATCATCAAAATGATTGACAGCGATGACAGTTTCCACTATGCATTTGAATTAATTAGCCTGAGGATGCACCGAGCTTACTTCGTACATAGTTCGGATTTAAAGGGGTGTTGACGAAAGTCTTGACCACTCACAACCCACAAATACCCTTGGGTCAAACTGCACTTATATGAAGTCGATTTCCCCGCCTCCTACACACTAGATATAAAAGCGCGTCGGCACTTGACCTATGCATCATTTGGCTAAGTGACTTAAGAGTGAAACCATCTCCGCTTGTGATATAAGTAAACCTAACACTTAAAAAAGACAGTCACAATCACCATGTACGGGCAGCAGTGCTATTATTATCAATCTGCTGTTAACTATTGCAGATACCCAACAAACACAGTTCAATATTCTTGGATACAGAATCATTTGGTACAAATGGCTGTCTCTTGTCCTACACAAGCTGTAAGTATATGTTTGTATTTTTTTGCATTTTTTTAAATGACATTCTGATAATAATTATATTGATATGATTTGTTTATTATAAAAAAAATCGAGAAAAACGTAGTGAATAATAATTTTGCTTTGATAATTTGTTTCGTTTAATTTTGAAAAGAAATATATATATTGTAATTGATATTGGGATAGAAGTGTCAATTGTATTTTGTTATATTATTTTTATGATTTTATTTTTCAACTTCAGTTGCCTGAAACATTTGCCCCGGAGTTTGACATGGACAATATTTCCTTGTATGAACCATGTGATATTAAACTGGAAAAAGTATCTGACTGTGCGATGGGAGAATCTGATGTCTCGTGCATCAGCAACAAGACTTTTATGGATTTAACGGATTCTTTTGACGGATTCAAGCAAGGTAATGCACAAGTAGAATGGAAGTTAACAAATAAGGAAATAAAATAAAAATGACAGTAAAAAACTAAAGAATGATAACAATAAATGAATAATAAAAAAATAACATTTAAAGGTTAATAAGTATTATTTCAACACATTTGAGGTCATTGCATTTTGTACGTCAAGAAGAAAAACATATACAATTTAATATGTTCTACACAAAAAAAGATATCAAATTATAATTCATTAATAGATATATGTTAAACTTGGTTATGCCAGCTAATGTTCTAAACTGTCTCTTTGTATAACTTTGTATAGAATATGCCTGCCCATTTGAGGAGAAAAACATGAAAAGCTGGACGGAGAAACACCCCGAGCATTGGAACAACAACGAGGTGTTGGACTGGATCTATTTTGTGGCTGCTGAGAATCATCTCGATGTCGCCAGACTACGAGGAGAAAATTTCCAGACAATTACGGGACAGAAGCTTTGCCAAATGACCCAACAGGATTTCATTGAAAAGGATCAGGAATATGGTTTCTACTACTTCGAGCTGTTCCGTCAAATCTTTAATGAAGGTAAATTTCCAATAGAAAAAAAAATATATTAATTTTTAACAAAATATTATACGATAAAAAAATATTTAATAAAACGAGGAAATCATCAATATTTATTATTATTATTATGATTATTTTGATATTTGAGATGGTAATGTCAATGCTATTTATCTACGTTTCCTTTTATATGTAAGGTAGGAGAGACTATAATTTTTATCTGTAGTGAAATCTTCTCGTGTTACTTACTTACACCTTTACTATTTGATTTACAGCTAAATTCACACCCCCAGCGTCAGTCGACCCGACTTCTTCTGACAGCAGTAGTCTGAATTTCCCCAGGGAACTGTTTTCCTATCCACAAACGATAGCTGATATAGAGGTTAACGATGCCCAAACCAGTGGTAAGTTTTACCTGCGAAAAAGTCGCTAAAAATTAAACCTGCGATCGGTGTATAAATAAACGCAAAAAATTACTGTATTACAGTGATAGATAAAATGAATGCAAAGTAGATGTTGCTATAGATTTTGACAGGGTTATCATCAATGATAAATGTTAGCTTTTAAACTGTAAACATAGCGAATCTAAATCTAACTAACAAATATCTTTATTTTATCAGAAATGCTGGATAACAACCTCGATACCATGCTCGAAATCCAAGATGGCGTTCCCAAGGTAAACATCGCCGGCGCCTGGTACGACTTTGATGATGATATGGATATTCAGATGGATCGAACGGATCAGGGATACATCAGTGGAGGTAAGTTGTCATCAATGTGTTATTTTACAGTAAGCTAATTTATCAATTAAAAAAATGCAAGTATATCTGTGTATAGTACTTTGTTTATACCTTCAATCATTTGTTCCCAACAAGCTCTGTTAGAATACAATCATCGCTGAATTTCTTAATAAATATGTTAACTATTAATGTATATATTTCTTGATTTGTAGAAGCTGAAAGTGAATGTGATTCCCGGCTTCCGTCTCAGCTGTTTTCTGACGAAGAGGCTGAGGTTGTAGTCAAAAAGGAGCCGAAGAAGAAAACGCCATCACGGCGATCTCACGGCAGCACTTCCTCCAGTGAGGGCTGTGAGAGTGAGGACGGGAAGTCAAACAGGGGCAGGAAACATGGCCAATGTAAGCTTCATAAACATATATATAACATACAATGGAAGACTTAGAAACATCCATATTACATAATATGTAAGCTTTATAAACACATATATCATATACAACGGAAGTCTTTATTTATATAACTATTATTTTTGTTATTATTTAATTGTGGTTCAGAAATGTTCGTTTTATATACGATTGTCCCTTCACCAAACATGTTTATATCATTATAATGTAAATTTATATTCTTTCTCACAGGCTCAAAAGGTAATCATTTGTGGGAATTCATCCGCGACTTGCTGAAGGATCCCCAGCTCAACCCCAGTCTGCTCAAATGGGAGGATAAGGAATCCGGAGTATTCCGATTCGTCCAATCAGAAGCTGTAGCTCAAATGTGGGGAAGGAAGAAAAGCAACCCGGGAATGACATACGAGAAACTGAGTCGAGCAATGAGGTACGTCTGAGTTGTTGCCGTGTCATTGTCCGTCTCTAACCTTTCTATTTCAGCCCCGTACGTTTATTAAACAGTATCGTATTGTTAGCATGAGCAGCAATGTGTTGTGATTTTAGTAGTCTTTAAATGTGTCGGTTAGTGGTGAAAGGTTGACAATAGTATATAATGTGTCATTTAGTGGTGAAAGGATGAAATAGTACATCATGCATGCAATATTGGGCTTAAGTGATAGATATGTATATATTTATATACAAATGTACGTGCACTTATACATGTAACTGTGATGTCTACAAACAAACTAGCTGACAGCTATCAACCACGTAATAGGGGCAATGATGCATTTGGTATATGGGCACTTGGTTATATTTTAACATAGCCATTATTTTTGTACAAACAGGTTTTGCAGATCCGCAAGTTATTTTGCTGGTGTGCCCAAAAATGGGAAATTCCCGAAGAAATTGTGTTTCCGGTTCGGCCCAAAAGCTTTCGGTTGGAAAGCAGAGTAAACTGGGATCGCTTAGGTTAATACCATTCCACATATTTACAATTTCCCTTGACTCTTTCCTTTACTAACTAGCTTATCTGCTTTAAATATTAACTCTTGTTTGCTTTTCTGTTTCATAGTCGTGATGTTTGTATCTTATACTAACCTAATGTTTTACTTACCCTTTTCTAACATATATATATATATATCTATATAACAATCGTTTCAAATCTTTAAATTTCAATTCTTTTTAATAATCGAAATTGATCTCTACTCACCTTCTTTATTTTAACATTTCTTATCTACTTCTTTAACCTTCGAATTCTTCTTTCATCGCTTTTCTTTTATCTATCTTTCATTCTTTATCAATTTTATTTTTATTCAAATTTAAAAACTTTTTTGCAAGCAAAAACTTAAATTTCATACAACGATTTAAAAAACATTTCAAAAACATTGTTACAAAAACGTTTCAGAAATAATTCAAATGAAAAGTGCATAATCGAAAATTAGTTTGAAACGATCATTTAATAAATTTACTAAATACTGCATGATCCATTGTGACGGGTAAATTATTATGTGCATGTGTAATTTAGTGAATTGATCAGTTAGCAAAAAAGAGAAGAAAACCAGTAAACGTTTGCAATAATCGTAAATATTGATGTTCTCCAGGTATTACTACAAGCGAGGCATACTTGACCGTGTCGACGGCCGAAGACTCGTGTACAAGTTCGGCTCCAATTCCCATGGTTGGAAGGACTGATGTCACACATTGCTTGTGTGAATCTTTCCAGTGTACTTCCCAAAGTACCAAATCGAACCCATTACCGAGCTGGTGTCTGTGACAGCTACTCACCACGTGACGATGTTCCATGCTGTGGAAACCGAGAGATGTAGCCATGGAAACTCCAACAGGACATAGTCCAACGTCCATGAAGCTCGTGCGTCTCTAAGCTAGACATGAGTGTTTGGCTTTTCATAGCTACTCGCGTGAGACATTATTGAAGATGTTTCCGACGGAAATCATTGCATAATATGACTACAAACGTGCAATTTCCTCGTAATCCTCCTTACATATTGACGACAATCGGATAGTGAAATGACAGTTTCGGCCATTGAATGGAGAAATGAGATTATTATGTGAATGACAAGCTTATCTGTGATAAAAGAACATACTTCATATTCATCGTCATCATATAGCCATCGTGTTAATAGTGAGCAAACATCGCCAAGTCATGGCACAACAGTGCAAACTCTAAGACGTATCACCTGACGGAACTCGTCTGACCACGGAATTAGATTAGCTATCTAAGTCCGTGGTTTGACAGACACGCGATTAGGGGCTATAGTTCTCTTACTACTAATAGCCATTGAATTCTTCATGGATCGATTCAAAATCAAAGTCTGTGTTCAAATATTAGTGATGTATACAAAACAAGTTTTACGTAGCTTTACCAATTGACTTAGAGTTTCTATCTGATCGGTGGAATGGCCAAAATATATTTTGGTTGTTTATTAAGTATCTCTTTATAGGGAGTTGAATCTTCTGCTTTATAAGTGGCAACTGATTAGTGTTAATCATATCATCCGGCTCACATCAATCAGTATTAGTGTGTAGAACACTTACAGGACAAAGTCCCATCGGCGCACATTGTCTATGGAATTACTTATATAACGCGGCTCTGCCACAGTGATTTATTTATTTATGAATTGTTAGATGTTGTTATAATCTTATATATATTTAATATATTTTTTGTAAGTTTATAGAATAAAAAAATGAAACATTAAAAGTTATTTGTTTATATTTGGTGTAATGTGTTTGTGTAAGTTTTGAGTATCTTGTTTGGTTGAAAGCGTGCACTACAAAAAGTGTGTCGTTGGATGTTTCTATGGTTGACACGGATTCCTGTTCCGTAAAATAAAGTTTTCAGATCTTGATATGATTCCTTTGTCAATTTCAATTTTCAAAAATGAGTTAAAGACAGAGATTTATGACTTACTTGGCTGTTTTCAAATTGAAACCCCATTTCACATGACGTATGAAAGGGGAAAAAATGACGCACTCATTTCACATGATAAAAGGGTTTGAAAAGCTGAATATAACCATTTCACATGATAAAAGGGTTTGAAAAGCTGAATAAATAACCATTTCACACAAAATAAGAATGGATCGAGTAAAATTCTGACTTTAGGAATGTTGGCATGTTAGGTGAGAGGCCACGTAAGGTCATATTTCTGGGAGTGTTTGGCTCGGGGTGATTGGTGAACCGCTTAAACTAAACAGCCACCACGTGTACCCGAGGTAGGCTAGGTTAATCATCATTCGGCATGTTCCTCTCGTGGACTTCGATCATATACGTGATCTATCAGACTTATCAATACTTGTTTATCAGTTGTAAATATTTCATTTTTTTCTGTGAGAGAATTTATAGTTTATCGTCATAATTATACTGTGTGTACTAGTCGTAGGTCACAAAATGCACGATCTTGATCAAAGGTAGAGGTAATTAATGGCGGCTCGATCAAACGCTCAAAACTGTGAACAAATACTTACAATGTAGAATGTTATAATTAAAAAAAAGTAACTGGATAGCGCATACGATAAGGCATTTCACTGGTATTTGGATCTCAAAGTCACCGCATCTACATGTTAGAATACAAATCGTCCTATTTCAACAAGTCCCTAACGACAGCAGGCCGTGCATAGTGACCACGAACATGGTACAAAACATGTCATTTGGGAGTAATCGTATAATGATGCAAGTACATTATCGCTTTCTCTTTATTTCAGTTTATCTTTGCATCAACCGAGATAAAGCTAAAATGAGAAGCATTTATTTATAGGCAACTCTACGTGTGTTCAACTCTGATTTCAGGTAAAAAAAAAAAGGACAAAGTAAATCAATAAAAAAAAACACAAACAGAACTGTCCACAAGACCGCAGGTTACTCAACGAATTATGTAAACATCTGAATGAGTAAAACTCTAGCTCAAAGATGTGGCTATTGAAATGCCCTGCTATATTGGAAAGTATAGTTCTTAGACTCATATAATAAACTTTGTTTTATCAAACGATAACTGTGCTAAATATAGCAGCTATTCTTATACATCGTAATAATTTTATATATCCTTGACTATTGTACATTGAAGTTTGAAATTTCAATATAATTTTATTGCATGTATTAGCTTCTCTCTCTTATAGCTTTTAAAGCAAGATTCTTTTTTCAGTGAAGTGCTTTTAAATGCATTTCAATTATTTTTAGTCGCTCGTAACTCCTTTAGAGTGGCTTTGGTCATATGTTTTATGTATATTTTATGGTATCATTGTATATATGTATGCGGAAGGTGAGACTCCAATAAACTATCTGTATCTGTATAATACAAAGTATACGTATTGTACAATAATTGGTAAACTAGACCGCGGTTTGTCATTTTGAATGCAGACTTGTTTTGAAAACGTTTAACGCGTGGAATTCAATCATTCTTATCTAAAAAAATTATGCTTAAAAATAATATTACTGTATTAAATATTGGAATGTTGGCGGGATAGTGGACACCTGTTTGTAAAGTACAACGAACATAGTGTAAGGAGTTGTATACAGGACACGTCCCGGCACGTACAGACAATTAGTGGTATTGGACCTCGACAACCATGACATTGGACATGGACACGATTTGTAATAAATATTTACGCTGTTGATTGCATTGAATTTGAAAACATAAAAAAACATGAATTGTGATCATGCTCTTGCTGTTAACACTTTGCCTACAATCTATAGTGCAGACGTTCGTGGTGCAATGTTTGCTGTAAATGTATTACCTACAGTCTATAGTGGTGCAATGTTTGCTGTCAATGTATTACATACAGTCTATAGTGGTGCGAAGCTTGCTGTAAATGTATTACCTACAGTCTATAGTGGTGCAATGTTTGCTGTAAATATATAACCTGCAGTCTATAGTGGTGCGAAGCTTGCTGTAAATGTATTACCTACAGTCTATAGTGGTGCAATGTTTGCTGTAAATATATTACATACAGTCTATAGTGGTGCAATGTTTGCTGTAAATGTATTACCAACAGTCTATAGTGGTGCAAAATTTGCTGTAAATGTATTACCTACAGTCTATAGTGGTGCAATGTTTGCTGTAAATGTATTACCTTCAGTCTATAGTGGTGCGAAGCTTGCTGTAAATGTATTACCTACAGTCTACAGTGGTGCAATGTTTGCTGTAAATGTATTACCTACAGTCTATAGTGGTGCAATGTTTGCTGTCAATGTATTACATACAGTCTATAGTGGTGCGAAGCTTGCTGTAAATGTATTACCTACAGTCTACAGTGGTGCAATGTTTGCTGTAAATGTATTACCTACAGTCTATAGTGGTGCAATGTTTGCTGTCAATGTATTACATACAGTCTATAGTGGTGCGAAGCTTGCTGTAAATGTATTACCTACAGTCTACAGTGGTGCAATGTTTGCTGTAAATGTATTACCTACAGTCTATAGTGGTGCAATGTTTGCTGTCAATGTATTACATACAGTCTATAGTGGTGCAATGTTTGCATTAAATGTATTACCTACAGTCTATAGTTGTGCAAAGTTTGCTGTAAATGTATTACCTACAGTGTATAGTGGTGCAATTTTGCATTAAATGTATTACCTACAGTCTATAGTGGTGCAATGTTTGCTGTCAATGTATAACATAAGTCTATAGTGATGCGAAGCATGCTGTAAATGTATTACCTACAGTCTACAGTGGTGCAATGTTTGCTGTCAATGTATAACATAAGTCTATAGTGGTGCGAAGCTTGCTGTAAATGTATTACCTACAGTCTATAGTGGTGAATGTATTGCTGTCAATGTATTACCTACAGTCAACAGTGGTGCAATGTTTGCTGTAAATGTATTACCTTCAGTCTATAGTGGTGCGAAGCTTGCTGTAAATGTATTACCTACAGTCTATAGTGGTGCAATGTTTGCTGTAAATGTATTACCTTCAGTCTATAGTGGTGCGAAGCTTGCTGTAAATGTATTACCTACAGTCTATAGTGGTGCAATGTTTGCTGTAAATGTATTACCTACAGTCTATAGTGGTACGAAGCTTGCTGTAAATGTATTACATACAGTCTAATGTCGTGCAATGTTTGCTGTAAATATATTACTTACAATCTATAGTGGTGCAATGTTTGTTGTAAATGTATTACCTACAGTCTATAATGGTGCAATGATTGCTGTAAATGTATTACCTACAGTCTATAGTGATGCAATGTTTGCTGTGAATGTATTACCTACAATCTATAGTGGGGCAATGTTTTCTGTAAATGTATTACATACAGTCTACAGTGGTGCAATCTTTGCTGTAAATGTAATACCTACAGTCTATAGAGGTGCAATGTTTGCTGGAAATGTATTACCTACAGGCTATAGTGGTGCAATGTCTGCTGTAAATGTATTAAATACAGTCTATAATGGGGCAATGATTGCTGTAAATGTATTAAATACAGTCTATAATGGGGCGAAGCTTGCTGTAATTGTATTACCTACAGTCAACAGTGGTGCAATGTTTGTTGTAAATGTATTTCCTACAGTCTATAATGGGGCGAAGCTTGCTGTAATTGTATTACCTACAGTCTATAATGGTGCAATGATTGCTGTAAATGTATAGGCTACAGTCTAAAATGGTGCAATGTTTGCCGTAAATGTATTACCTTCAGTCTGTAGTGGTGCAATGTTGGCTGTAAATGTATTACCTACCGTCTATAGTGGTGCAATGTTGGCTGTAAATGTATTACCTACAGTCTATAGTGGTGCAATGTTTGCTGTAAATATATTACCTTCATTCTATAGTGGCTCGATGTTTGCTGTAAATGTATTACCTACAGTCTATAGTGGTGCAATGTTTGCTGTAAATGTATTACATACAGTCTATAATGGTGCAAAGTTTGCTGTAAATGTATAGGCTACAGTCTAAAGTGGTGCAATGTTTGCTGTAAATATATAACCTACAGTCTATAGTGGTGCGATGTTTAATGTAAATATATGACCTACAGTCTATAGTGGTGCAATGTTTGCTGTAAATGTA